TAGGTGTACTTGCGGAACTGTTTGGCCATTATGAAGATGCAGCGCAATGTATATCAGACAGTGGGCATGAGGGTCCGCATTTACAGAGAGCACGCATGTGAGCTACTATTTATTTTTCGCCCTCACTAATTACTACACTTATCCTTTGATTAGTAGTATACCCAGAATTATGATAAAACTGGGCGGCTATCGTTGCTCATGGCTACAGATCAAAAGTGATTAGTTTGAGCTCGCTCAAGCATCAGCCTTTCACCAATTTCTTTTTCGCACGGTTGTCTATCTATTTACCTTGTCCTCCAGTTTCCATTTATACGTTTCCTGTGGAAGCGCTGAGCTCTGGGGATAGAGCTGTTTTGTTTAGGAAGGCTGGTCAGGATGTTCAAAATCCTTCCAAATCCCTGGAAATGTTGGCAAACCTGTGCTCGAAGTCGTCTGAGGAGCTACTCAATTTGCTCAAAGAGCATCAGCCATTATACAAAAATCTATTCGAGCGTCTAATTGCCCCAGAGGCACAAGGACTACAGGAGTTATATGCTTCCTCTGCCAAGTCCATATCTGTACCGCTTGTGGTTGCTGCAATACTGCGATTTGAGCTAGTGAGTTTTTTTGAGGGACTTTTTGGAAAATATGTGTATTTATCCGAATGATGTATTGGGTCGGCCCATAAGTAATGGCTTTTTTCCCCACTCGAAATATCGCGCTGAAGAAGAAAAGTTTTGCCATCGAGTTTCATACCGTTTTGCAGAGAATTCCTTGCCCTACACGATAGTCTTCTTAGTTTTCTTCAAGTTTCTCTTTCCACTAATATTTAAGTGCTCAAACTGGAGTGTCAGGTCGACGAAATTGAGCATTTTCGACAGCCTCTTTTATACCTCTAATTAAAAAAAGCTAAAACCGCATGGGCCCAGCTGCTAAGTATATGGCTGAAAGGCTATGTCTCTTAGGAATGCTAATAATACTTTAAGTGATTCGAAGATTTCAGTTTCGACCTCACAGACAAGCATCGAACCTAATGCCCTATTCTGTCCAACTGAGAGCTTACGGAATTACCTTATTAACTGAGAATCATGCCAAAGATTGAGGGATCGTTAGAGGTCATAGAATGCTTCCTTATCATTATCAACCACCACCCTCAGTTGATGTTAGACGTTCGATAAGTGGGTAGGTTCTGCAGGCAGTCCCTCCCCAAGAGGGCCCCCACGCGATGCTCTTTTACATGGTCCGAATTCCCAGCTCTTGATTGCTTGAACCAACTTCATCATAAGACGCACCTTTCTTTGGTCATATATATCACAAGGTTTGAGCTTCTTCTGTTTGAGAGCCGAGATAAAATTCAAAAAGTAGTCTTTTAGTTGTCGGAA